ACCCTGGTAACGACGTCGACCCACAAAGCGTTCCACGTGGTTGTGGAAGCCGCCATTCTCATTGAGAAGAGCCGGCAGCGGGTGATAACGACTTGGTCAATCGTCGTTCGGTGACTCGCGATGCTCTTCGAGCGTTGGGGGATAAAGTCTCTTGTCATCGGCGTTCCGCCGGCCATCTTTACGAGGTCGCATACCGCTGTGCGAAAGGCCTTGAGAGCCTGGAGCACTATGTGCACCGACTGCCTCACGTTGAGGATTATCGGGCTCTGTCGGAGTGGCTCCTGGTCGTCGAGCAGACGAAGACGTCACTTCGTGCGACGGGGGGGGCGCCTTGCCCCGTTAGAAGCGGAAATTGTTCCACTCCGTGGTTAGACCAGTTGCTGGTTCATCTATTGGGTAATCAAGCGCCTTTGAGCGCCGTGGCGGCGTCCAAGGGCTCCCGCGTTCACTTGCGCCGGATCTTGGTACAGCTTAAGCAAACCCACACGAAATGACAAGGTGGGTACGCATCCTTCTCGGAAGGTTCAGCGTATACGCAAGGCCTCGCTTGACCGCGACCTTATAAGGTCCAATAAACCGTTGACGAAGCTTTGTCTTAAAGACAGCAGAGACTGAGAATATTGGAAGGTTTTTAGCAACAATAAAACAAGGTATAAACAAAGTTCCCGACCTCATAGTCTTCCACATTCCTTTGCTTCTTCCATCTGCATATTCTTTCTGCATGTCTTGGCTTTTAGCCATCGCATCGCCCATATGTCGTAGGACAATCAATTTGCTAGACAGAAATTCATTCATTTCTTTTACGGACAGTGAGGGACTGCCATCAGCTAGCCGTTTTATTCTTCCTCTCATACCAAGCCCTGAACCATAAGATGGCGGCGTCAGCAGGACGCGAGGATGATCGAGCCCGTTCACGTAAAACGACGTGTAGCCGGTAGTTGAATGCACTGCATTAATCAGAGCAAACTCTACGAGTGGCAATTTGGTGGACTAGCGCGTCGGAGTCTCAGTGCCGACGCTGCGATGAACATCTTCAACGACGCGGTTCACGCGGTCAGACCGACCATCGGTATGCGGTTGGTCCTCTAGTTGCCCAGCACCCTGAAGATTGTAGACCAAAACGTTTTAATGAAGCGCGAGTCTCAGAGACAATTGAGTCCGGGATACTATGCTATCGAAAGACACGATCGACAAACAGCGTCGCTGTACCCACACCGTCGATGGTG